ATCAGACTATGTTGCAACCACAGAGCATACTTAGACAGTACCTTGGCTCTGATACCAATTGTTACGAAATGTCATATGTATATAGTGTGAATAAGTCACAACTACTATACCAAAAATTATGACAGCCACCAAATAATAAATAAGACAATAAAACAACAATAAAGGGAACACCAGAATTTACGAGGTTCGGCTAATTTTGCCTACTCCTCGGACACAACCAATATTTTATTTCACTCCAAAAATACAAGTGAAATAATACTAAAGAGAGAAGATACAAATGCCTTAAACAGATGAGAAGGCAAATGAGAGGTGTGTTTAAATCCTAAACATTAAGCCTTCTTTTATAGGGGGAAAATCCCCCCAACTTTTGTTTTCCCACCGATGTGGGACAAACATTTTGCCAATTTCAACAGTAATATCAGTTGTTCTCGATGAAAATCAGGACATCATAGCTGGGATCAGAGCCACAACAGAAGCCAATGCAGTGTGCAGTTTGATTTTTCAAATGCTTTTGCAGTTCTTATCTTTGCCACTTTTGAAGCCCGAGCCATCTAAAGGGTCATTGGTTTCAAGATTGGTGTCTAAAAGAAAAATAGCACGTGAAGGCCAAGAAGAAAGCACAAACATAAACCAGGCTGGAAGCTTTTGAGGCTACTTGATAGCTTAAAAATAGACTGGGAGGGACATTTGGGTGCATGATTAGATCAAGGAGCTCTCTCTTAAGTATTCTCTCCTGCTAAAAAAATATAGTTTACCTCCTATTGTACATGCCCCACTTGTGGGATTACACTGGGTTGTTGTTGTCATATTGTACATACACAATATTGTAGCTTTTTTAGGAAAAACAAGATGAATTATACTCAAAATTATCATCTTTTTTTACTCTATCATTCTATGAACTATCTGTCCATATGGCGTTCTATGAGTTCTCCCTTCTATGTCAAATCTTGCTATGGCGATGGCTAATTTGCTTTCGGAAAGCGAAGTTGCTCGGACGTGGGTGCGGGTATCCGATCCAGGTGCAGATCCAGAGTTCGGATCCTTTATAATCTAAATTTTAAGATTCGGGAATAAGGGATCCAGGTACAAATACATGTGCCGGGATTTCGGCAAAATATAATTCAAAATTCTAAAAATAGATATATAAAAATATATTCAAGCGGAAAAGTTGAAAAGGAGACAAAAGGAGTAGAATTTGCTACCTCACAGTAGTAGAATATTGAAGGTATGCCATTTCCCATGGCTTCAAATTTGTACTAACTTTTGTCTTGAGAAATCAAAATTCAGTTTTTCCTCAAATTTGTCAATGGATTGTGGTCAAAGTAGCCGATCGCGATTGACCATATCCGGTACAAAACCCACACACTTACCCGTACTAGTGTTGTGCCAACACGGGTCTAAAATGAAGGGTCCGCGCAACATAGTCGGAAAGTCAAACCACAGGAAACAATGTGAAAAATACTAAGGAAATAATGTTAAAAACTATATGTAGGAAACATTAAGCTTCAATGTTTACTGATCCACTAGAGCTTCTAAATTTTTCGTGTTTATCCAGAATTTAGTGAAACTCTCCAGTTTCACAATTCACCCAGTATCTACCTTTATAAGTGTCACCTTTGAGAAAAAGCTTCAATGGACATCCCTTGACCAAACCAACATCTAAAGGTGTCAAGCATGCTCAAACTTATGGTGAGCTGCTAGATAAGCAAGGGTAATTAATCATTACTTTATACCATGCCAAATGAAACTGCAATAAAAAGATGGTAGAGTAAACATAAACACAATATTGAAATATATCATGTGATAGGAAGAGTTGAAACTAAAAAGCTCAAAATATGATTAGCATAAAGAAAGAAACTGCAACAACACCTGCAATATCAGACTTCAAATCTCTAGAGTCCACTTAACTACCCTCCACAGATTCTAGGCTTTCGACATAATTTATGACTTTAAACCCACCCACTGAACTTCTCCTTTGAAAGCTCCGAGCTCTTTTAGTAAAAGGATTGTATGATAACAGTTCATGTGACAACCCATTTGGGTAGCCAAAAAGAATTTCGCTGTCCCTCCATGATCCAACAGGTCTTGCTAGCTTAAAGAAAGGTGAAAACTCAACTCGCTTAGTCCAAGATACACCTTGTTGTTCATTCATCATCCATACCTCGTAATGATCAACATTTAAACCATTCTCAGAATAGATTATCATAGAAAGACAACCCTTTAGTACCACAAGCTTCTTGATAGTGAAGTCAGTAATAGAATCAGAATTGGGGACCATAATTTGTCCAAGGACTTGTTTATACAAATCAAAAGAAGTAACAATATCCCGTCCATTATCAATATTATATGACATCCAATACAAACACCCACTAAGATTAACTGCAGACCCACCTTTGGGCAGCAGATTAACAGCTCCCATCTCTTCCCAAGAATCCGAACTCAGGGTGTAAACCCAAACCTTAGCATCAATGTGTTTCCTACTGGATGATGGAACCTTGACAACCTTATAATCGTTAATCTCGGGGACAAAACCAAGCATTATATAAGGGAAGAAAGGATCACAATAAAAGGATACAGAATTATCGGGGGATTCAAGGAATCTATACTTTCTCGTAGCAGGGTTCCACAAGATAATGTTGGAAGTCCTATTAAAATGAACACACAACAAGCCATTGCAAGAAGCCACAACCCGAACCTCATCATCTGGACTAGACGGAAACGGCAAATCAACAACAGAAGACGGATACAGATCATTATTATTTTTATACACATCAACTCCGTCGTCAATATCATCAGCATTAACAGTAACAGTAACAGTAGGATCAATGGAGAAGAAGGAAATAGTAGGGGTGTCTCTAGGACCCCTATCGCTCACTCTCAGGAGCTTTTCATGGTGAGGTTGTTGACAGTGACGGAGATGCATTTCAATAAAATCACGACTACTAAGAAAACCATACCATGATTTGGAAACCGCTCGGAATCGCAGTAATGACTTGACGGGAAGCCGAAACAGGATTTCCACCATTGCATCTACCGGCAGAGTACAGCTGCCTAAGCTTGCCGTTTCATCCCACATCTCAATCGGGCGGAATCGAGTTTTCCAGATCGATAGCAGAGACAGGAGGAAAACCCTACCCGTTTTGATTTACAGAAGATTTTTCCTTAAATGATCGTACAAAATGTGCTCTAGAAAATTTCAATGTATAGAAGGTTTTCCCGTAAGGTAAAGGATGGGACCCACGGATGGGACCCTTCCAAAGCACAAAATTGGTGGGATGTCAATTTGGTAGTCCGTTGTATATATGTTTACCGAGGAACCTTATCTATATTGAACTCCACTGTAAATATGTTAATTTATTTAATACTTTATTGAAAATAAGTTTTTTAAAAAAATTATTATTCGGTACTCCGTTATAGATAAATATCTATATTGAACTCCACTGTAAATATGTTAATTTATTTAATACTTTATTGAAAATAAGTTTTTTAAAAAAATTATTATTCGGTACTCCGTTATAGATAAATATCTATATTGAACTCCACTGTAAATATGTTAATTTATTTAATACTTTATTGAAAATAAGTTTTTTAAAAAAATTATTATTCGGTACTCCGTTATAGATAAATATCATTTCTATAAAAGATTATCTATAGCTGGTACGATAACCACATACCAGGAGTGTACACAACACCTTGCAGTAGGAGCTTACAAGCAGCTTACACAGCAGCTTACAGTAGCAACTTACAAGCAGCTTACACAGCAACTTGTAGTAGCAGTTTACGCAGCAACTTCTACATTAGCTTCCTTTCTTTTATAAATAAAGGAGATTTCAGTTTATTATGTACATCAATTTGAAATTGAATAGTAAATTAATTTCTCTCCATACTTGTTGTTGGTTAATTTACTTTACAATCTTTATTTTATAACACGTTATCAGCACGAGACTTTGTCATCTCGAGCAAATACTTGAAAGTATCAAAGGTACGAACTTTCTTTTTCTAAATAATGTCAAATATTTCTAAACTTGAATTTGTAGCCCTGGATATATTAGGCAAAAGATACATATCTTGGGTGCTTGATACTGAAATTTATCTTGATGCGATGGGTCTGGCAGACACCATCAAGGATAAAAATAAGGCATCAAATCAAAATCGTACCAAAGCAATGATATTCCTACGTCATCACCTTGATGATGGCTTGAAAATGGAATATCTTATTGTTAAAGATCCATTCATACTGTGAAATAATTTAAAAGATACATATGACCACTAATAATTTAAAAGATACATATGACCATCTGAAGATGGTCGTTCTTCCACATGCACCTTATGATTGTATTCATTTAAGGCTACAAGATTTTAAATCCAACAGAGAGTATAATTCTGTTATGTTCAAAATTATTTTTCAATTGAAATTATGGGGTGATAATATTACTGATCATGATATGCTGGAGAAAATTTTCATCACTTTTCATGCCTTGAATATACTCCTGCAGCAGCAATATCGAGAGATGGATTCAAAAAGTATTCTGAACTTATCTCATATATTTTTGTAGCTGAGCAACATAATGGGCTAGTAATGAAAAATCACTAAATCTAACCTACGGGTTCTTGTCCATTCCTTGAAGTGAATGAGACGATTTTCCACTAGGCTAAGCGTGGAAGAGGTCGTGGCCTCAGCCATGGTCATGACCATGGTCGGGGAAGAAACTCTAATCATGGTAATTATAATGCATCAAAGAACCATCCTCACCATCATCGGTGGAAAAGAAAGGAACAAAAGTATGAAGCGATGCAAGCAACAAATACAGAAAATGCATGCTATAGATGTGGAGGAAAATGGTACTAGTCACGTACATATCGTACACCAAAGCACCTGGTTGTGCTTTATCAAGCCTCCCTAAAGAAGACAGAGAAAAATACTGAAGTAAATTTTATTTCTGAAGATAATGTTGATTTCATGCATTTGGATGTAGCTGATTACTTTGCACTCCCAGAAGGAGAAACAAGCCATATGATTGGTGATGAATCTATTGAAATTTAAATATTTTAAATTTTTTGTTTGTGTGGTTATGTAATTTTTGTACATAAATAAAAGTTATACTTTGATAATGAGGTTTACTATAATATTTATTTTGTTTATGTCATTTTATTTTGAAGAATTTGGATAATCCACAAATTATATTTAGATTAAAGACCAATCATAAAGATATTTGTGTAATTAATAGTGGAACAACTCATGCGATATTTAAAGATTGGAAATACTTTTCTTATTTGCGTAGGGAAGAAGCAAATGTTTCAATAATTTCTGGTAATATAAATTTGATTGAAGGTTCCGAAAGAGCCACTATATTTCTGTCTAAGAGAACAAAACTTATTATAGACAATACATTATTCTCCTCGATGTCCCGAAGAAACTTATTGAGTTTTATAGCTATCCACCAGAATGAGTATCATGTTGAGACGATAAATGAAATGAATATGGAATATCTTTGTATTACAAAGAATGATTTTGAACAGAAGTGCATTGTAGAAAAGTTACCAACTTTATCTTCTTTCTTATATTATTCAAAGATTAGTACAGTTAAAGCACACTCTATCGTAAACAAGAGGTTTATTGATTCAAATACTTTTATAATTTAGTATTGCTGCTTGGGCCATCCTGGATCAATAATGATGAGATGAATTATTAAAAATTCGAGTGGGCATCCATTAAAGAACTAGGAGATTCTTACAAATGATGAATTTTCTTATGATGCTTGTTATCAAAGCAAAATGATCACTAGACCATCACAAATGAAGGTTGGCATTGAATCCCCTGCCTTTTTAGAGCGTATACATGAGAATATATGTGGACCTATTCTCCCACCAAGTGGGTTGTTTAAATATTTTATGGTCCAAATAGATGTATCTTCAAGGTGGTCTTATATATGCCTACTATTATCTCGCAACCTGACGTTTGTAAAGCTATTAGCTCAAATAATTCGATTAAGGGCACAATTCTCAGATTATCCTATAAAGGCTATTCACCTTAATAATGTTGGAGATTTCTCATCTCAAGCTTTTGATGATTATTGTTTATTAGTTGAGATAAAAGTTGAACATCATGTAGCTTATGTTCATACTTAAAATGGTCTTGCAATCATTTATTAAACGCCTGCAATTGATAGCAAGACCACTACTTATGAAAATAAAGTTGCCCACTACTGTTTGGAGACATGCTATCTTGCATGCAACATCACTTATTTGTCTCAAACCGACACATTATAATAAATATTCTCCGTCATAATTAGTTTTTGGTCATGAACCAAATATTGCTCATCTACAAATTTTTAGATATGCTATATATGTGCTAGTAGCACTACCACAGCATAGTTAGATAGGCCCCCAGAAAAGATTAAGAATATATGTTGGGTTTGAATCATCCTCTATTATTCCTATCTTGAACCATTGACGGAAGATTTATTTACTACTCGATTTGCATATGTCGATCTGATGAAATAAATTTCCCACAATTAGGGGGAGACAAAAAGGAAATCAAAAGAAAAATTATGTGAAAAGTTTCATCATTATCTCATTATGATCCACGTACCCTTATATGTAATCAGGAGGTCCATAAGATCATCCATTTACTAATTCAAAAGGATAACTAAGTTACATATCCATGCAGAGAATGTTCCTATCCGAATTGATATCCCAGCAGGACCATCTACTAGCATAAGAGCTACTGAACATAAAGAACACCTGAAGCATAGTAGGCCTTTGAGTTCTAAGGATTGAAATCTTAAAAAAAGAAAATCGAAAAATGATCAAAATAATACTATGAAGGGATCTCCTGAAGAGACCAAAGATCTAACTAGTTCTAAGATTCCTGAAGAAATCAATGAATCCGAGACTCAAGTGAGCAAGGAACTTTTAATAAGTTCTACTGGTGATGGGATTTTGCGATGTGTTTGCATATAATGTTGCACTTAACATTATGCAAGGTAGTGAGGATCTTGAACCCCGATCTGACGAAGAATGTCGACAAAGATCTGATTGGCCAAAATAGCAAAAGGCAATCCAATCATAATTGAACTCACTTGTTAAAGGGGAGGTCTTTGGACCTGCAGTCCAAACACCTGTTGGTATAAAATCAGTTGGTCATAAATAGGTTTTTGTGCGAAAAGGGAATGATAAAAATAAAATAGAAAGATACAAGGCTCGCCTTGTCATATAAGGATCCTCGTAACGACCTGGAATCGATTATGAAGAAACATATTCGCCCGTTATGGATACCATACCATTTTGTATCTTATCAGTTTAACCATACATAAAGGGCTTGAAATACATCTAATGGATGTAGTTACAACTTATCTGTACAATTCACTTGATAATGAAATTTACATGAAAATTTCTGACAAAATTATAATGCTTGAAGCATATCAAAATCTCAAAAAATGTATTTAATTAGATTACAAAGATCTTTGTATGATTTAAAGAAATCTGAGGGCATGTAGTATAATCGCCTCAGTAAATATTTGATGAAAGAAAGTTACATAAATGATATTATTTGTCCATGTATTATTATTAAGAAAATAGCATCAAAATTTGTTATACTTGCTGTTTATGTTGATGACATAAATCTTGTTGGAACTCCAGAAGATCTCCAAAAGGCAATTGAATATCTTAAGAAAGAATTTGAGATGAAAGATCTTGGAAAGACAAAACGAATTTGAGATGAAAGATCTTGGAAAGACAAAACTTTGTCATGGTCTGCAAATTGAACATCTAGCAGACGGGATCTTTATCTATCAATCTGGCTATACATAAAGGATCTTAAAACGCTTTTATATGGACAAAGCACACCCATTGAGTACAATAGTTGTTCGATCACTTGGAGTGAATAAGGATCCGTTCTGACATCCAGAAAAGGATGGTGAACTTCTTGGTCTTGAAATACCCTATCTCAGTTGTCACGACCCAAAATTTCCACCTTCGGGACTGTGATGGCGCCTAACATTTCACTTTCTAGGCAAGCCAATGTTAGAGAACCGTTAAGCCAATTTTTTATTCAATCTCAATAAATAAAGTCAATTAAGCCAAAATAAAATAAAACTGAGTGCAGGATAACATAAATACCCATAATATCTACTTCAATCTGGATCTGGAGTCACAACTCACGAGCTTCTATAATTTCTACAAACAGGGTCTGAAATAAAACAATTGTTCTGAACGAAAAGAAAGAGTAAAATAGGAGAAATATAAGGGGACT